ACCCCTGCCTCCAATTCCCCCCACCTCCAATTCCCCCCCGTAGCCCGGACCCCTCCGCCTCCAATTCCCCCCCCCGCAGCCTGGATCCTCCCACTTCCAATTCCCCCCCGCAGCCTGCAGCCCCCTGCCTCCAAATTTCCTCCACAGCCCGGATCCCATTCGCCCTTGCAGCTCAGATTCCCCCCACCTGTAGTCCAGATCCCCCTGCCTCCAATTCCCCACCTGCAGCCCAGATCCCTCCCCCCGCCACCACCTGTAGTCCGGATTCCCGCCCCCCTCCCCCGTGGCCTCCAATTTCTCCCCCCCCAGCCAGGATCCCCCCTGCTCCCGCCCCCAATTTCTCATACAGCCCCAATCTCTTCTCCCTGGTGCCCCCCATCCTGGTCCCCTCTGCCTGGCACCCCCCTCCCCACCAGTGCTCTAACCTGATCTCCTCCCCCAGCCCCCTTCTCCTTGCACCAGGCCCCCTCTGCCTGGCACCCCCAAACACATGACTCCGCCCAAGACTGATTCTGCCTGTGTAGGAATACCCTGCTCCACACCTGCCTCCCCGGGGTGGGCTCAGAAATGGGGCCTGGGGCATAAACAACCAGCCAGAGGAATGTGGTTGGTACAGGAGTGGGGATGACCCAGTGAAAGCCATCCTGGCTCTATCCCATTCTATCCCTGGCTCTAGTGGTTAGAGCAGGGGGGGCTGGGAGCCAGGACTCCTTGGTTCTCTTCCTGGCTCTGAGAGGAGGTCTAGTGGGTCACAGAGTGGATGGGGCGGGGAGTTGTCTGGGAGCCTGGACTCCTGGGTCCCATCTCTGGGAGGGGGCGTGGCTACGCCTGCTGACGGGCAGGTTCTGGTGGCAGGAGGAGGAGTTCTACCTGGTGAAGTGGCGCGGCTACCCGGAGTCGGAGAACACCTGGGAGCCGCGGAAGAACCTGCGCTGCGTGGGCCTGCTGAAGCAGTTCCACAAGGACCTGGAGCAGGCCTGGATCCGGCGGGACGGCAAGCCCAAGAAAAACGCCCGCTGGCTGGACCAGGGCGTGGCGAACTACGTGGTACAGAAAGCCAAGCAGCGGCGGGCCCTGTGGCGCTGGGAGCGCCAGCTGAACGCCAAGCGCAACCACAAGGGGCGCATCATGGTGGAGAACGAGGTGGATCTCGATGGGCCGCCCCGGGACTTCGTCTACATCAACGAGTACAAGGTGGGCGAGGGCATCTCCCTCACCCAGGTGGCGGTGGGCTGCGAGTGCCGTGACTGCCTGGCGGAGGCGGCTGGCGGTTGCTGCTGCCCCGGTGCCTCCCGTCACAAGTTCGCCTACAACGAGCTGGGCCAGGTGCGCATCCGGGCAGGGCTGCCCATCTACGAGTGCAACGCCCGCTGCCGCTGCGGGGCCGAGTGCTCCAACCGCGTGGTGCAGCGGGGCATCCGCTACGATCTGTGCATCTTCCGGACCGCCAACGGGCGCGGCTGGGGCGTGCGCACCCTGGAGAAGATCCGCAAGAACAGCTTCGTCATGGAGTATGTGGGAGAGGTACGGAGCGCCAGGCGGCCACCTCTAGGGTGGGGCAGCTGGGGAACAGCCACACACAGTGTCATATGGGGATGGCTCGCCTGGCGCTGAGATGCAGCCACCTCTGGGGCGCAGCAGCTGGGGAACAGCTGCACATAACGTCACGGGTGGGGGGCTCACCTGGCATGGAAATGCAGCCACTGCTGGGGCGGGACAGCCGAGGGACAGCAGCCACATGTCTGCCGCATGGGGATGCTTCCCTAGTGCTGAGATACAGCCACCTCTGGGGTGGGGTGGCTGGGCAACAGCCACACAGAGTCCCCCAGTGCTGTGCTCCCGGCATGACCCCATCCCATCCCGTCCCCCCCAGATCATCACATCAGAAGAGGCGGAGCGACGAGGGCAGATCTACGACCGCCAGGGTGCTACCTACCTCTTTGATCTGGACTACGTGGAGGATGTTTACACAGTGGACGCTGCCTACTACGGCAACATCTCACACTTCGTAAATCACAGCGTGAGTGGGGGCGCATGGGGGAGCCCACGGGGAAGGGTGGGGCTGGGGGAAGCCTGGGTGTGGACAAAAATCAGTGATTGAAAAACAAACAAAAAACATACCTCTCCCCCCGATTTTTTTAATGTAAATTAAATAGGCGGGTTTTTTTTCTTAGAAGAAAAAAATGATTTAAAACAAAGTTTGAAACGTTGACAACGTATGTAAAGGCCCCCACTTTATGAGACTCTATGGACATCATTTAAATCACATTCACTAGACAGCCGGGCATGTGTGCTGTGGAGGGGTGGAAGAAAGCTGAAGTGGTAAACTGGTGGAAATCGCTGGCTCGGCTCACATATTTTGTAGGGAGAATATTTGCTTCAGTTCAGTTTATTCACCGAGCTCAGTTCAATGGCCAGTCCATTGCAAGTTAAGAAACCGATCAAGAGCTGGCAAAGCAGGAATGCTTGGTTTCCTCTTCCAGTTTCTAAATAAAAACTCGGTGGGACAGGACGAGATCTACTAGATCTAAAATCCTGAAGGACATGGAGACTAGAAACAAGCAGTTTAAATTCACTAATTACCCTGAACGCTCCCTTTGTTTACTAAATCCATTTTAAATGCAAACCACGTTTTGATATTCCTCCTATTTTCTTCTGTATCCAGCACGTTCAAGGTAGTTTTATCAAATGGATTAAAAATACCTGTTTCGTTTTCAGTGCAAAACATGGTTTGATAAACTACTTTTTTCTTCTTCTGCCTCCAGTGCATTTTAAGGGCATTTTATTGAACTGATTAGAAATAATTAAATAAATAAAGAGTTAACTAAAAATAACACTCTGGTTACCTTCTCCAGACCTGAAGAAGCTCTCTGTGGAGCTTGAAAACTTGTCCCTCCCACCAACAGAAGTTGGTCCAGTAAAAGATATTTACCTCACCCATCTTGTCCAACTAAAACAACTTAGTTCTAAACGCAAACATTTGTAGATAAACTACTTTTTTCTTCTTCTACACCCCGCATGTTGAAGGGAGGTTTTATTTAATGAATGAAAAATAACTCCGTTTTCAATGCAAAACCATGTTTTTATAAACTCATTTTTGTTCTTACGCATCACGCACATTTGAAGGTAGTTTTCATGGAATTAACAGTAGCTCAGTTTTAAATGCAAACCCTGTTTTGATAATCTCTACTTTTGTTTTTCCATACGCATCCTGCACATTTTATGGTCGTTTTATTGAACGAATTAAAGCAAAACAATTTAAAATCTTTTTGTGCATTTTTCATTAGTTTCCATCCAAATTAAACTTCAACAAACCATGAGTTGAAACCCCATCCCCCCAAAAAACCTGAATAAGAAATGTCATTCACCAAATTCTAACATCATAAAAAAGTAAAATTTAAGAATCCAAATAAATATACAACATATAATATATAATTCATCTTAATACATTGCATTAGTGTAATATTAACATTAACAAATTACACTAATATAATGTATTAAGATTAATGAATGATGATATAAGTAGGCTTGGCAGAATTCATTTTTTATAATTTCGATGGACAAAATTGATGTTTATTTTTAATAATTTTTCCTGATTTAAATATTCACAGTTGTTGGACATTGTGTGTGTGTGTGAGAGAGAGATGGGGGGTTAGACAATAGGGTAGGTCAGGCGATTATATAATGACAGTAGATGCTGAGATTCAAAAAGTTAAAATTTTATAGCTGTTAGAACAAACACCACATGTCAAGATAGTCAAAGTCAATATCCTTCAAGCCGAATTTTTCTTACTTTGCCTAGCCCTCAATTTCGATCACGTTTGTGAGTGTGCGATGAAACTGACGTTTACGGACACTGACCAACAAAAATCAAATCCTTCCAAGTGGAGATCTAGGCTGTATGTTAATATGATAATATAATTCATTAATATTAATACATCATATTATCCTACCTATGGGTATTTCTAAATGACAATATAATGTATTAATATCAATTCTATTTGAATCGGATCGTTCATTAATAAATTATAAGGTAATTGCTTAAATAAATGTGTGTAAATGTAGCGTGTCCTGCGGGTTAGTGAAAAGAAGGGCCAGGTTTGGGGCAAAGGCGACATTTAGTTGCCAATTACCATGTTTTAATGGTTACCAACGAACGAGCCTCGGCTTTTCTCTAGGGAGAGAATTGAAAAGGACCGACGCAAAAGGGGGTTGAAAATCCGGGGTCCCCACTTGCCAATTCAAAGTGGTGATTTAAATCGCTTCAGTTTCAGTTGCTCCACCCTGGGGGGTGGGTCCCTGGAGAAGGGCTGGGCAAGGGGAGGGAGCTGGTGGCACCTGGAGAGGGAAAGGGTATTTGGGGAGGTAGGTGGTGGGGGGGGGAATGTGGGTGAGGGGTGCAGGGCTATGGCAGCTTTGTCTGGCCCCACTCACCTGCCCCCTCCTCGGCGCAGTGCGACCCCAACCTGCAGGTGTACAACGTGTTCATAGACAACCTGGATGAACGGCTGCCGCGCATCGCCCTCTTCGCCACGCGGCACATCCGGGCCGGGGAGGAGCTCACCTTCGACTACAACATGCAGGGTGAGTGCCCACCGGGGGGGCCTGGCCCCACTGCTTGGGGGAGCCCTGGGGTGGGATCCTCCCCCTGATGCCTTCTCTCCTCCCCCGCAGTGGACCCGGTGGACGCAGAGAGCACACGGATGGACTCCAACCTGGGCCGGGCCGGCGGCCTGGCCGGCTCCCCCAAGAAGCGGGTGCGGATCGAGTGTAAGTGTGGGGCCGAGTCCTGCCGGAAGTACCTCTTCTAGCCCCTGCGTGCCCTGCCGGGGGTCTGGGACCCACGGCCGCCACCGTGCAGGGCTCTGGGGGGCCCATGCCCACCCTTCACCCATTGGACTTACCTCACCTGCCCGCTTCCCCCCTCCTGTCAAGGGGGGTTTTATAGGAACAGCTGTCATGGATTTTAATCAGTTGGTTCCCAGGCCGCGGCCGGAGCCGTCCTGGCTCTGCCACGGCCCTGTAAAGACCCTGTCTACTGTGTACTGAGCGCCACGGCCTCCTGTGGGAAGCTGCCGGTTTGGGGGGGATCCAGGAATTTTCAACTTGAAGCCGCACTTGACCCTGCGTCCCTATGCAACCAGCAAAGCAGCTGGGGGGGGGGGGTGTTTTTAAACCGATTTGGGGCATTTTGTAAAAGGACTTTTTCTACCAGGTATTTTTGATTGGGGAGGTGGGGGGGAGGGAGCTGGGCTGGGGGGCAGCGGGGCTGATGTCTGCGATCAAGGCAATTAGATGGTTTGATTCTGCACCTGATGGTGGTATCTGGTTCTTTTGGCTCGTGGGAACAGTGCCCGTGGTTATAATGGCTGGAGAACGGGGTCCAGTGGGGCCGCTCTTCCCTGGCATTGGGGGGTGCTAGTGCAGAGAAAAGATTATTTAGATTTAACTAACTCAGATGGAGGAGTCTGCTTCACTTCCTGTCCTAAACTGACTGACAGTTTTGCTGTGTGGCTGTTCCCCAGGTGTCCCATCCCAGAGGTTGTTGCATTTTCAGTGCTGGGCAAGCTGCCCCATGATGCATTATACACAGCTGTTCCCTAGCTGCCCCGCCCCAGAGACGGTTGCATCTCAGTGCTGGGCAAACTGTCCTTTTATACTCTCACGTTTGGGATTGGTCCAGACCCCAGATGTTATTTGTATGGAAGGTGAGGGTTAAACAGGCCCGTTGGCCCTAGTTCCACAGGCCCCAGATATGCCCATGCTGGCATCAGCACGGCGGCCCTTCTCCAGCGCCGCTGGCACAGGGCAGGGACCTCAGCTGCCTGAATCCACCC